TCTTCACGAGAACCACTCTGTCTCAGTCATTGTGGCTCCACAGTGAGTCCCAGAGCTGGGTGGCATCAGCCCTCTGACTTTGCCCCTCAAGCCTGTGTTAATTGTTTTAAGTCCATCTCACCATAGAAGCTTTTGAATTGTTCTGCTGGGGTTGTGATTAGGATGATTAGGCATCATATATTAAGTAGGAAGTTTTATTAACAATATGGAGACTTCTCGTTCATGAACATGAAATGTCTTTCCATTTATTTAGATCTTTGATTTCTTTCATCAGAGTTTTACAGTTTTCCTCATGGTGTCCCTGTATATATATTTTAAGCTTTTTACCAACATACTTTATTTATCTGTGTTAATGTAAATGATATTGTATTTTAATTTCAAATTTGAATTGTTAATTGCTGATAAACAAGAAAGCAACTGATTTTTGTATATTAAGCTTGTGTCTTGAGGTTTACTGTAATCATGTATTAGATACAGGAGTTGACAATCATTTCATCTATGACCCAAGACAGTGTTATTTTTTCCTTTTATTTCTTTTCTTTTCTTTTTTATTTCTTTTTCTTATTGCACTGACTAGGATTTCCAGTATAATATGAGTAGTGTGGTGAAAGGGTACATCCTACCTTTTACTCCAAATTAAGGGAAAAGTATTTAGTTTCTCATCATTAAGTAAGAAGTTAGTTGTAGATTTTTTGTAGACCTTCTTTATCAAGTTGAAGAAGTTCCATTTCTAATTTTCTGAGAATGAGTTTTAAAGTCATGGGAGTTTTGGATTTTATAATTTTTTGCATCTGTAGATGTGACGCTATGATTCTTTTCTTTCTTTTATTTTTTATATATTAATTGGTACATTTTAGGTATATAATACATTTACATTTTCATTGGGTGTTTGTACCTGAACATGATGTATCTTCTTATTTTTTTCCCCATTACCTATGTGCCCTTCACCCCCACCACCCTTCCTTATTTACATAGACTTTGTTTCCATTTTTTTTTCTTTCTCATAATTTTTCCTTTCCTTTCTTCCCTTTCCCCTTCCCCTTATGATTCTTTTCTTTAGCCTATTGACATGATAGATTACATTAATGGATTTCTGGTTGAACCAGCCTTGCATTCCTGGAATAAATTCCACATAGTTGTGGTATATATAATTCCTTGAATACATATGGAGTTAATTTGCTAGTATTTTGATGAGGATTTAAAAAAATCTATATGAGAGCTTGGTGTGTAGATTTCCTTTCTTCTAATGTACTTCTCTGGTTTTGTTATAGAGTAATGTATAGAATGCACTGAAAGTATTTCCTATGTTTCCATCTTCTGGAAAAAATTGTAAAGAATTGGTATCATTTTAAAAATGCTTCTTGGAAATCAAAATGAAATAATCTGGGCCTCATTTTTTTTTCTTTCTTTTTTTGAGGGCTATTAATGATTTTAATAGATAAAGAATAATAATAATTAACAGATAAAGTCCTACACAGAGATTATTTCTCTTTGTGTGAGTTTTGATAATTTGCATCTTTTAGGAAATTGGTCCATTTCATCCAAGTTATCAAATTTATGGGTATAGAATTGTTGTAATATTTATTTTCTTTTTAATGCCCATGGGGTCCATAGTGATGATTCCTCTCTCATTAATGATATGAGCAATTTAGATTTCTTTCTTCTCTTTTTTTAAGCCTGGGTAAAAGCTCATTCATTTTATCAAACTTTTTTGGTATGGGAGATCAAATCAGGACCTTGTGCTCCCAAGGCAAGCGTTGGCACCACTGAGCTAAATCCCCAACCCTTATCAAACATTTTAAAGAATCAGGCCAGGGATTTAGCTCAGTGGTTCTGCCACCTGCCTCGCAAGCACAAGGTCCCAAGTTTGATCCCTGGTACAAAAAAAAAAAAAAATCAGCTTTTGGCTTCAATGATTTTCTCTATTGCCTTCCTACTTCCAATTTAATTGATTTCTACCCTAATTTTTATTATTTCTTTTCTTCTGCTTGCTTTTGATTTAATATTCCCTCCCCTTTCTCCTTTCCCAATTAGGAAGTTTGGGTGGTTGATTTTAAATCTTTCTTTTTTCCTGACACCTGCATCCAGCATCGTCCCTGTCCTTCCAGGCTCTGTGACTGTAACCCACACACAGCAAACAGCATGTTCATTTGCATTTAGTTCAAAACAACTCTAAATTTTTCTTGAGACTTCTTTGATCTTTGTGTTATACAGAAGTGCATTATTTAATCTTTAAATACTTTCGGATCTTCTAGCTACTTTCTTGCCATGATTTTTGGTTTAATTCTGTTGTGGCCTGAGGGCATACTTTGTATGATTTCTATTCTTTTAAATTTGTTTAGTGGGTTTTGTGGCCTATCTGGTAAATATTCCATGTGATCTTGAGAACATTATATGTTGTTTTGTTCTGTTATGTTTTGTACTGGGGATTGAACCAAAGGCCTTTTTGCAGAGCTACATCCCTACTCCTTTTTGTAAATTTTTAAAAAAACTTTTTGAGACAGGATCTCACAAAGTTCTGGAGTTCTCCAAGCTGGGCTCAAACTTGCCATCTTCCTGTCTCAGTCTCCCAGGGTGCTCAGATTACAGGTATGCACCACCATGCCCAACTTGGATGAAGTATTCTACAAATGTCATTGGATCCAACTGCCTGATGGTGGTGTTCAGTTCAATTATATTTTTACTGATTTTGTGCACACCAATGTGTCAAGTACTGGAGAGGAGTGTGTGAGTCTCCACTGTAACAGGATTTGTCTATTTTCCTTGCCTTTTTATCAGTCTGTATTGCTGGTGTATTTCGACACTCTGTTGTTTGGTGTACGCATCTTAAGTATTGTTACATTTGCTGGAAAACTGGTTGTTCCATCATTATGCAGTGCCCTCTTTATTCTTGATAATTGTCCTTGTTTTGATGTTTGTTTTGTCTGAAAACAGCTTACTTTTGATTAGTGCTAACATGGTATATCTTTCTCTGTCCTTTTATTTTTAATCTGTTTCTGTATATTTCAGGTGCATTTCTTGTAGAAATATACAGTTAGGGCAGGTCTTGGCTTTTAAAAAACCCATTCTGATGGTTTCTATAATAATATACACAGCTCCCCAACCTCATCCATTTCCCACTGTTCACACCGTCCACAGCCAAGGCACAGTGGTCAAAACCAAGAAATCAGCGCTGGTGCATTACCATGAAGGAACCAGCTCATACCGATGTCCTCAGTTTTCCCTCTGATGCCTCTTTTTTGTTCCAGAGTCCACATCTAGACCCGAGAGTATGTGAATCTGTGTCTTCTACAACCACATTTAGCCGGGGCACAAAAGCAGCCATCAAGGAGGGAGGCCGTAGGAGGAGGACCTTGCCCAGGCTCATTGGCGACACTTGCACCGGGAAGCAGAGACCCAGGTGGATCCGCGGTCGCTGCCGTAGTTTCCGAACCCCTTACACAGCCAGCCTTTCATAGCGCCAGCGTCACAGGCGAGAAGAGCGCCCAGGCTGCGACCTGGAGGGGGGAGGACTGGCTGCGGCAACACCGGGGCTGGAAGCCTTCCTTGGATGATAACGAGAGAAGCCTTTGCTCATAAGTCAAATCCTGGATAATCCTGGCTGGTGAAGGCGGATCCCGACCCCTTAACGGATTTAGGGTGCCGAAGTGACTGCGAGGGTGGCCCCGGCAGAGACGCTCGCGGGCCACCTCTCTGGCCTCACGTGCGAGGTTTCTGCGCTCCAGGCGCCTGCGTGGATGCAGCATCTGCCCGGCGGCGCAAGGCCCTTCTGCTCGCGTCGGCCGCCCACGCCGCCGTCCATGTGTCGGAACCCCCAGGCGCTCCCCACTTCGCCTTTCGCCGGGGCCCCACCCATTCCGGGCAGCGGAGGAACTGAGCTCATGTGTGGCGCGGGGATCCTCGACTCCTCGTAGCTAGGGTGGTCGTGAGGGGCGCGGGGGCGTTTCGGGCAAGGCACCGCCTCTGGTGTCACCCCCGTGAGGGTCAGGCGCCTCCATCCGGCACCCTGGTGCTTTAGGGTCCCTGGCTGCCTACGGAGGTCTTCAGGATCCGAGAACTCTGAGCCCTGGGAAGCTGGGGCGGGGAGGACTCCCAGGCGGTGACCCTGCCTGGGGCACCTCAGAGCCAGCTGTCTCGCCTGTTCACCACCACGCTTAACCGAGGCGTGGCAGTGCATGCCTGTAATCCCGAAAAGGAGAGGCTGAGGCAGGAGAATTGCGAGTCTCAGGCCAGCCCGGACTATGTATTCAAACCCGGTCTCAAAAACCAAACCAAACCGAAACACCCGACCACGCTGCCGGCGCAGAACGGAGGTTTGAGCCTCGGGCGGGTTCTGCATCTCCGCTGCCTCGCCTGAGTCCAGAGGAAAATCGAGGAGGGGTCCGTGAGGCGTCAGTGCCACCCTCGCCTGCTGGGGAGTCCCCATCTCGCCACTGTGGGGACCACGGAGACTTGATGTCCTGATAACCGAGGAGGATACGAGCCCCGCGTCCGGAAACCGAGGAAGGATAGGAAGGGGGTGGCAAGGCCGAGTCAGGAGGGGCCCCGAATGCCTGGGAGCCAATTATAATGCAAGGGTTGGCTCAGTTAGTACAGTGAGGGGTGTTCGGAGGAGAAGGTGACCTGAGACGGGCTGTGCCCTGGACCCCCATCCAGGGCTGCTGGTGGCACGGGACACGCGGGAACTAAAGCCTCGCTGGGGTATGTCCGAGGGTCGCGCCTTCCGCGAACCTCGTGCCCTATGCCGCCGTCTAGCGCCGGTCTGCAGCCCCCACCACTCCCCTGGCTTCGGGTCCAGATCCAGGTCGGGTTCTGCAGCGGGCGGGTGGTCGGGGGCGGAGAAGCCCTCCGAACGCAGGCGGGTGGAGACTGGGGCACAGCTGGAAGGTGGCGAGGGGGGCGGGGTCCCTGGGGCACTGGTCGGGCCCCGCCCCACGCCCTGGTCGCCGGTATAAAGCGCGGAGCCGGCGGGGACCGCGGTCGCCCAGCCCGGAGAGGCCATGGCGGGGTCAGCGCCCCTCGCTCTCCCCGGGGGCCGCGCGGGCATCGGGACTGTGGTGCCCGGCGCGCGCCTGCGGGGCTTCGCCATCACCGACCTGCTGGGCTTGGAGGCAGAGCCGCCCGCCCGGCCGGGGCCAAGGTCGGGGTGCGGGGGTCCTCTTGTAGCGCTCCCGCCCGCCGCCCCTTGCTCTTTCCTTGTCCCGCCCCCCGGGCCAGACCGTCTGCATCGCAGCGATAGAGACTCCGAGTCCGGTAGGTGCCGAGCTCCACTCCCGCCCCTGCCCGCTCTGTACGGGCCGGGACCCTTGGGGCGCCCCGGGTCCCCGACGGCAGAGGCTCCAGGCAGGGCGCGCGTTAGGAAGGCTGCGACCCGAGGAGTCAGACCTGGCGGACTGGGCAGCAGGGTGGTTGGGTGAGCAGAGGGGAGCGCTGGACGGGAACTGTCCGCTGCCCGGTGCTGAAAGGCATCCTATATCGCGCTCCCGGGTCGTTCTCCCAGCCCCACGGAGTCCCTGTATCTTTGCTCTGTCTTTCCTTCCGAGCTGCCAGTTTCTTCAAAGAAGTCCATGCAGACTTCGGGGAAAGGGAAGGAAGAAATGAAGTTCCATAAAGGACAGGGCAAGAAATTGAGAGAGCTGGGTCGTGGGGAAAGAAAGGAGAATTACAAAAGAAAACATAGCCTTGGGCCGGGGATTTAGCTCAGTGGTTCCACCACCTGCCTTGCAAGCACAAGGTCCCAAGTTCGATCCCCGGTACCAAAAAAAAAAAAAAAAAAGAAAACATAGCCTTAGTGAAACTGTACCGTAGAACCTAGAGCAAAAGTGAGGGGAAAGAGTACATTGAGCCTCATGGATAATAAAAGGAAGCAGGCAGGTCAACAGGCTGCTGAATACTCAGCCCTAAGAGGATTTTCCTTCCTAAACCTCCTAAACAGTGGCTGGGTGCAGGGGTGCAGTGGTGCTCACCAATAATCCCATAACTCCAGAGACTGAGGCAGGAGGATTGCAAGTTCAAGGCCAGCCTAAGCAATTTAGCAAGACCTTGTCTCAAAATAAAAAATAAAAAGGGCTGAGAGAGCAGCTCAGTGGCAGACCAGCCCTGGGTTCAATCCCCAGTACTGCAAAAATACAGTCAAAGGCCACCTTCATAGGATAGGTTCCTATGCAGCCTAGATAAAACGAAGGGCAAAAGGCTACCAAGTCCCAGGCTGTGTGGGATTTCAGGAAGACACAGAGCAGATCTGTCAGCAGAGTCATGTGAGGTGTGTGAGAGGAGAAATGATCAGTTGTCTTAAAAGGGAAGATACACAGGTGAAACTAACTTAAGTAATGTACTACATTTAAAATCCAATTTCTGTAAATAGTATTATCTCTATGTAATCAATACAAAGCTACTTTAACTTTGGGGGCACTGAGTCTCTTAAACCCAGGGCACAAGTGACATTTCCATCTGACCATGTCCACATGCTCAGCAGCTCCAGTGGGCAATATCTACCAAGTGGACCACACCAGGGAATGTTATGACTCCAGCACAGGTTTCTGGTGACCAAGGGAGGTAGAAGCAAAACTAGTGTTGTTTTGTTATTGTTGCCTTTATTCATTTTTTCCTATCTTGAGGCAATGAGACTTTGAACAGTGACTGTGATAATAGTTTGGTCTCCTAACCTCCTTTTCCATCTGGATCTCCCGATGAAAGGAGTCTAAAAAGATAAAACCCAGAAGAGTGGTTCTCACTTTTCTAGGTGCAGCTACAAATCATCTGGTACCCTTATCAAGAATGAGGCTCTGGGGCTGGGGATTTAGCTCAGTGGTGCCATGCCTGCCTCATAAGCGCAAGATCCTGAGTTCGATCCCCAGTGCTGAGAAAAAAAAAATGAGGCTCTGGACTGGCACCTCAGACAGGGCTGAGCTCTGGTGTTACAGCCTCTGCTATCCCTTTGAGCAGTGGGATGGAGAGGGACTGGAGTGATCGTGGGAAAGGTACTGAAGGTCTCTGCCTTGGTTTCCTCATTTGTAAAAATAAGATGATAATAGTAGCTACTTTGGTTTTTCACTCTACAAAATATAACTGAATCTGGGGGTGCTAGAAGCCTCGTTCTTACCATCATACACATCCCTAACAGGTTCAGGGCTCAACACTCACAGTAAAATCCAGGAAACAGACTAAGAATATACTCTGCTTAGCAGGCTCTTCTTCCTGTGCCCACAGATGAGGACAGTCTGTCTGAAGACAGAAGTGACCTGAAGGCATCCCCTGGCCTGGGCAAGAGGAAAAAGCGGCGGCACAGGTACAGGGATACCTGCTGCCTTGATGGGCCTGGCTGCCTTTCCCTAGACACAGCCTGGTGCTCATGGGATCAGCACTTGGGAGCTTATGGCCCTGGCCCTGGCTGGGATGGGTTCAGTGGCCTCCTGCTTGGCTGTGCGGAGAGTACTGCAAGCCATTTGCAAAGAATATTCTGCACTCCCATGAGGCTGCAGATTGATCTTTGCACTATTTAAAGACACAATTTGTGGGTCTGTGAAATGGGTCTCATCAGAAGGGATTGGTGGGATTCATTAATGAGCTAAAGGGGGCCGGGGATTTAGCTCAGTGGTTCCACCCCCTGCCTCAAAAGCACAAGGTCCCGAGTTTGATCCCCGGCACCAAAAAAAGAAAAGAAAGAAAGAGAATAAGCTAAAGGCTTTGTTTGCAGCTCAATGGTAGAGCATGGGCTTAGAATGCACAGAACCCTGGGTTCCATCCTCAGCACCAAAGGAAAGAAAGACTGTCTTGTTTGAACCAAAGACCTGGGCTTTCCAGAGGCTGATTGTCCTGAGGTGGGGTGTCCAGGTGGCATAAAGTGGCTTTTGGGTGCAGACAGCAGGGGTAGCACATGGTCCTCAGGCAGGGAAGCTCACAGTGTTTCCAATCCACAGGACAGTCTTTACTGCTCAGCAGCTGGAAGAGCTGGAGAAGGCTTTTGGAGAAGCCCACTACCCTGATGTCTATGCCCGGGAAATGCTGGCCCTGAAAACCCAGCTTCCTGAAGACAGGATACAGGTGTCTGAGGTCCCCTTTCTCCTTCCCAAAGACCTTTAGAGACTCTCACACACAGGGAGCCACTTCTGTGAAGCCCACTGAAGTCCCCTTCATTGGAAAGCTGAGAGCTACATAGCCAAAGCACCAAAAGGGCCCTTGACCCTTTTGCTTTAATTATGTCATGGAATCATACTCAACAGCCGTAAAATATGTGTGCTTCAGTGAGAAACTACATGAAGATATATTTTTTTAAAAAACAACCCTCTTCACCTTAAGACCCCATAGAAACCAACACACATGGCTGCTATTACACCCTACCCCTGTCCCCTCCATGTCACAGGTGTCCAGCCTACGTCGTCGTGTGCTGTGCACATGTGTGCACAATTGTTCACGTGCACGGAGTACTGTGCTTGTGGTTTGTCAGGAGATTCGACGCCCATTCACTCCTGCTAACCTAGCAGCACGATATTCCACAATGTTCTCCCATTAACGAAATATTTCCCATGAGAAAATCAGCAACGGCCCTAAGACAGGCGGTCCAGAGGGGCCTGGACCCAGAGGGCTCTCCCCATTCCCGAGAAAACCTGGCCCTGGGTGCAGTTGACCCCTTTACACCACGCTGGGGACAGCAAGTACTTTGCTCTGAGGTTTTCACCAGACTCCCCGGGAGACTTCAGGGGAAGCGGGAGCCCTCATCCCCACACACCTGAATACCGGGGTTCAGAGGGAAGCTATGGCTCCCGAACTTCTGAGGCTTCCCTCGCAGGGTGTGTGTGGGAGGATCGTCCTTCTTAGACCCGGAATTCAGGCCCGCGGGTCTGTGGCTCCCAGCGCGCGCTCACTGCGTCCCCTGTGCGCTCTCCTCCTTCCCTCCCTCCCTCCCTCTCCCCTTCTCTCTTTCCGGCCTCCTTCTTCCCTTCCCCTTCCCCCCGCCCCTACTAGGTCTGGTTCCAGAACCGCCGGGCCAAGTGGCGCAAGCGAGAGAAGCGCTGGGGCGGCAGCAGCGTGATGGCTGAGTACGGGCTGTACGGGGCTCTGGTGCGGCACTGCCTCCCGCTGCCCGGCGCGGTGCTCGGCGCGGTCCAAGGCCGCCCGCCGGGGTGCTGTGCGCCCTGGCTGCTGGGTGAGCAGGGGCTGGGAGTGTGAGGTGCGGGGCTCGGGAATCACGGGGTGTGTGTGTGTGTGGGGGGGCGCAGGGTCCTCACCAGACCGCGGTGGTTAGAGCAAGCGAAGCCCTGTACTGAGCCTCAGTATCCGCTGACGCTCCAGTCTAACCCCTGCCCACAGCAAGGCTGGCGTCAGGCCGCCTCCCTACCACCACCTGTGCTGCTCACACTGTGTTTGGGTTGGGACATGGGGGAGCGCGGAGAAAACCTAGATAGCCAACCCTACCAGGGTCAGGTTGGTCCCTGCTGGGTCTGCCAGCCACACCTGCCGCAGAGTCTCTGTTCTTAGACTTTCTTTGCTGAAACAGCCTCTGCTGGAGGCCTGCCTGGGGTGGCCACTGTGCGAGCCACCCTTACTGCTGCAGCCTCACAGCTCAGAGGATGAGGAGTCACAGATCAGAGTCACAGATCGCCACTAGGGGCCGGGGGAGGTTGGCTAGGGGACCCCATGTGACTTTAATTTGGGAAGGAGGAGGGTTGTTGTTCAGCAAACAGGCCTTGAGGGTCTGCTGGCCAGGAAGATGCAGGAAGTGGGGATATCAGCTCTTAATGCAGTCTGGACTTTGCCCCAGGCAAGAAGGGACCAGAGGAACCCAGGGTAGGGAGCCAGTCGGGCACTAAATACGGGGTAGGGGGGTGTGCTGCACCCACAGGACCTGCTTGTGGGAGAAAGTGGGCTCAATCACTGAGTCACACAAGCACAGCAGCTTTGCAGAGTGTGACAGCTGGCAGACACCAGCTTTTCCCTTAAGGATGGGAGTCACCTAGCCAGCTCACCTGTAGTCACTCAGGCAGTCACTCACTCAGGCAGGGATAGTTCTAATGGGACACAGAGAACAATGATGAGGAAGAAGTGTGCTTCATTGCTGAATTGAATATGGTTTTTGTTTGCTTTTTACTTTCTTCTCTCTTTTTTTCCCAAGGGATCCATAAAAAATCCACGGGGATGATAAGGAAGCCAGGAAGCGAGGACAAGGTGGCAGGACTCTGGGGCTCCGACCATCTTCACAAAGGTCCTCACAGAGGCTCAGACACAATGGGACCTGAGAATGCAGATGTGGCCATGGATCTGTCCAGTTCTGCCCGGCAGGAGACCAGGCAGGCTCGGCAGGGGGCTGAGGCTCAAGGACGCTCTGATCCTGAGGGGCTCCAGGGGTTCCAGCCTGGGATAGTGGGAGCCTTATGAGACCCACAGTCCCCCCTACTCCCCGCCAAAGGCTGGAAACACTGGTGTTTTTCGAAAGGCAAAAATGGTCCAGGACAAACATCCTTAGTTCAGTTTTCTTCTTATGGTGTCAGGATACATTACAGTGCCAACTGCTGTAAGAGGACAGACAGATGACTCAGGGACAATTCCACTTCATTCTAGAATGGAAACCATCCCAGAGGCACTGAAGCCAGCTGATCTAAGGTAAAATCTGATTCCACCTGGTAGAACCTGAGAGGGAGGACCTGAAGTTCAGAAGGCGGTCACAGTTGGGTGCCACTTGGGATGTGGCTCAGTGTTCTGCACAGATTAGCAGGGAGGTCTGGTGTCCTCAATCTGCATTAGGAAATACAAGTTCTTTAACCTCCAGCGAAATCAGTGTCTTTACAGTGGTGACTCTATGCAGACACGTGAGTGAATTCTAGTGTCTTCTCCTTGAGCTTGACCTTGGACATTTCAGCTTGGGGACAAGCAGTGATTGTTTTCTGAGTGCCCTTTGGTAGGTATGCATGTTGGAGCTCGTAGTCAGCAAAGAAAGCCCTCCCCTCAACTGTTTAAACAGTGTGGGAGGGTCAAACTGTTTGAATGCACTTTAGTGACCTGGATTTCATGAATGTTTCCTCTCCAGCATTTCCTTTGCCTCTTATTTATGATTTAAAAATAAACATTGTGTGGGTTTACTTCTCAAGGCCCTCCTTCCTTATACATGTAACCTCACAAACTCCAGTTGCCTGAGGCTCTCCCTCCTGTCCCTTTCTGCTGGGGAATCTGCAGCACTTATCCTCTTCTGCTGCACTCACCAGGGGTCGCTCTATACAGAACTGGATAGTGGCTGTACCTGGCTTGCTCAGAGGTCACAGCTAAGTGGCCGGGCACTCTGGGACAGGACTCACCAGGTTGGCTGTGCCCTCCCACCTCCTGGGGTGAGGCATCCACAGCCTCTTTTTCATTGCTCTATTTTTATCATTCTGAGCCAGTCCCATGCTGTTGTGGATGTTCAGTGTCACCAATTCCTGCTGCAGGGACAGCAAGTCATGTGCTTTTGCTCCTCTGGCTCCTAGAGACTATGCTGAGCCGGGTCGGAGCCTCTGATGAGAGGCTGAGGACCCAGAGTCTTTTCCCATCTTCCTGCAGAGGACGCAGCCCACAGCTCGGCTCTGGTCAAGTGCATGGCCACCTGCCCTGGGTGTCTTTTGCATCCCATGGATCCCACTTGTCCCCTCAAGCACTTCCCTGGGATCCTCCAAGGCCTGGGGTTGTGGCTGGGAACCTGAAACTGGGGCAAATCACATGTAGCCACGCATGGAGCAAAGTCCTGCACAACCACAGAACATGGTAACAGCGAACTGCATCTGTCCATGAAGAAATGTGTTCACAAAGTGTTGCAGAGTGAAAAAAATCCATAAATAAAGGAAAAAGAATACAAGTAAAATGAAACAGAATGAAAATGAAACAAATACCCTTGGTAACTGGCTAGGCAAACAGTATATGTAAATAAGGGACACATTTATTACTGGGTTTTGGGGTGCTGAGGACTGCTTCTAGCAGTGCTTTCTAGGGTCTTTCTGTCCTGAACAAAAAATTGGTCATGACAAAAGCAAAAGGTAATGAAGTTTTAAATTCATTAAAGGTATTAAAGGTAGGAAGAGAAACTTGCTCTGCACAGTGAGTGCAGGCCAATTAAAAGCAGGAAAAGAAGACAAGCTACAGTGAGCGCTGGCTGTGAAAAGGCTCCCAGCAAGCTTAACGCCCATCTTTTGTGTCCTTTAATGCTCAGGCTGACATCAGACCTGGGGAACCTGCTCACCCTAAGTCCTCTGGAGAAGGATGAAGACTGGTCCCAGGTGCCAGGCATTGCTGCTTGTCTCCTGAGTCTCTGATTGACAGGTTACCACCCCATTTGCCTCATTTCTATGCAATATTATAAAGAAAAATGAGAAACAAGAAGTGGCAAAAGGGAGAAGGGTAGAACAACTAATATAAACTTTGGCGGTGGGTGTGTGTGTCAGGGTCTTGCTATGTTGCCCAGAAGGGCCTCAAACTCATGGGTTCAAGTGATTCTCCTGCCTCAGCTTCCCAAATAGTTGGGGCTACCGGCATGTCACAGTGTCCGCCAGCTAAGACTACTTTAAGGGTATAAGAAAACATTATTTGCACTTAAATGTTCATTAATATGATTTAAAAATCTGCATTCTAGCCCACAAGTCTCCTATTGGGAAAAAGAACTTCAGCAAAACAAAACTGCAACTAGATACATTTTCTGGAAAAAACACACATAATAACATTGACTCCGTGAAATATAAATATATGAAAGCATGAAATATAAAAGATCAATAACCAAGAAAGTAAAAAAAAAAATTAAATAAGTCTGGACTTAGGGAGAGTTGCACGCAAATTCTTGAAGGTGAAGGAAAAGATCATTTTATGGTGCATGAACAATAGAAGTTGTTCGTGAACCTAGAAGAAGACAAATATTTCCAGCTCTGACATCACTGATTCCAAAACCCACAAACGCCCCCCACCCCCTGCGTCCCAAACTCCAATTAGGTCCATTAATGGCAATGTGAAATTCCTAAATAACTACCAACGTTTAGAAGTCAGCAGTGAACCAAGGCACTCGGCCTTTAGAAGCTGTACCACAGCAGGGTCACCCTCCTTTCCCATCATAGCGGTCCGGTCCAGCTGGCTCCGCGCGCACAGCCATCTCTTGGCGCTCTGCCCCTAGAGGGCCTCCTCGCACTTCTCATTAGTCAGATTGCCAGTCATACTCACATTTTCACCAATCGCTAGTCAGATGGGCGGAACTCCTTTCTGGTTCAGGCCAATCACAGCCCAGCCCTGTTGCGCGCGTAGCCCCCAACTCGCGCGAGGACGGGGACCCAAGCCGGGGACTCGCGAGGCGCCGCCCGCAGCTGGAGCGTCCTGGAAATGCTCCAAGCACTCGTCTGCATCTGGATAAATGGGTACTTAAAAAAAAAAAGTTTTGTAAAACTGGCATGCAAAAATAAAATAAAATGAGAATGGTTAACGTTATTTAAATATCGATGCCCCCCCTCCAATTTTGGGTCCAGCTTCAGACCTGGCTTCCCTGCGGGTCTCAGACCCCGGCCCTGCTGCGTCCCCACCCTTTGGTCACCGGCACTCTGAGCGCAGGGCCCCGGCCGCAGAGGCCGCAGAGGCTGCAGAGGCTTACGGAAGGGCTGGCCCTGCTGTGCACACGGCCCGGTGGTCAGGCTGGGGGACCTGGACTAGCCAGATCAGGACGGGACAGGACTGGACAGGACAGGGTGCGGGGACCTGAATGGGACTGGACAGGACCGGACAGGTTCTCTCTCCACTTTGGCTGTCTCCCACGAGCACGCGCAGACTGCAGGGCCCAGGCTCGCCTCTCCCGGTGCTCGCAGTGACCAGGAGCGGTCCAGAGAAGCAAGGAAACTTGTCAAGGGTGAGGAAACAGAGGCCCGCAGAGCTAAGGGGCTGTGGAGAGCACAACAGGGAGGGCTCACGCATTGCTCGGCAGACGACGCCCCGCGGAGCTGCGGGCCACAGATGTGGGGAGCAGCCTGAGGGAAAAGGCGAGGCTGGCCAGGAGGGAGGAGTGACTTTCCGGGTTGTTGGGACAACTGTTTATTCACATGGGGTAGGGTGACGTCTCACCTGCCCTTCACCCCCCCCCCCCCCGCAGGAGACCATGTCTGGGTGATGGAATCAAGCGCGAACTGAATGCTGCAAAGCTTGTGATGTTTTGGCTCAGATGGTGCTTAAATTAGCTCAGCACTGTGACTGAAAAACAATCGTTTTATTTTGTTTTGAGACTGGGTTTTCATTTTGGTTACAATCAGTAGGTCTGCTTCACCTGGATTTACCAAGGCCTCCGTTCCCCCTCCCCTCCCTTCCTCGCTCCTCTTCTCCTCTCCCTTCCTCTCTATGGTCAGCCTTTCTTCTCTAACCTCAGGTTCTGCATCTGTGGATTCAATCTATCATGGATGGAAAACATTTTTAAAAATTGCACCTGTAACTAAACCTGCCCAGACTTTTTCCTCATCTTCATCTCCTGCACAGTCCCGTTTATGCACATGTCCTTTGCATTGCCCTAGGTATCATAAGGATCCTGGAGATGACCGAACATATGTGGGTGGTGTGCACAGGTCACACGAGAACCTCGTGTCACTTTATGTGAAGGATGTGAGGACCTGTGGGTCCTTGGGGCCCTGGAGCTGATCCCTCATGGATCCTAAGGAACAACTACGTATGCACTCAGGTATATTTTTGCCTTCAGTACCACATGTGGTTATTTTGCACACATAACCTGCCCCTTTATCTTCCAATACTGTGTGTGTTTCCTAAGACTCAGGACATCCTCTTACATAATCTGGGTAGTTATCCACTTCAGAAAACCTAAATAAATACCTGAAATTAAATCAGAATAAATACCTGAATTTAAATCTGAATACTCTAAACCTAAATAGAATACAGGATTTAAAATCTGAATATAACTTTAATCTCACTCAATACAGAATCAATACAACATCTAACAGTGAATTCAATATAGTATTCTAATTTGAATACAACCTAATGCTATACAGTATTGATTATAATATTCTAAATTTGAATACATATTTCAATTTTGCTGATTGATTGAATATTGCTCTTTACAGTGATTTTCAGTCTCTCTTTGGCATGAACTCAGATGTCCCCTCATTTGAGAATGGCCTAATGTTTCTTCATACTTAGCCTCAGGTTGCACATTATTGCAGGAAAACCCCTTTCATGAGCAGTTAAAGGGTTAAAAAGGGTGACTCTGGGCTGGGGTACAGCTCAGGGATAGGGCATTTGCTTAGCATGTGTGAGGCCCTGGGCTCCATTCCCAACACTGCAGAATAAAGAGAAGAGAATAGAAGAGAAGAGAAAAAAGAAAAAGGCTGACCTGAGTAGAGACCTAGGGGAGAGAGCTGGGGGCAGGAGCCTCTATTATCTGCTGCACACCTTTCTGCACTATTTGAATTTTTAACAGGGCCTTGAAATTATTTGATACACTCTTCTGAAACAAAGGGAACTCACTGGAAGGCACAAGTTCAGAGCCAAGGAGGCATGCCAAGTGTTTTCAGTTCCACTGAGCAGGCCAAGGAGTTTGAAGAGGCTGTACAGTTTAGGGATTATCCCTTCTGTTTGGGACAGTGACCCACTTTCCACTCACTCACACATTACTGCTGGCTCTTTCAGCTGCTGTCCTAGGAATTCCCTTTTCTCTTCTTTTCTTTTTTGGATGCTGGGGATGGAACTCAGGGCCTCATCCAGGCTGGGCAAATGTAGAGATGCACCCCAGCCAAAGAGTCTGGCCCTAAGAGCTCTTGGGGTCTAGGCAGCCAGGCCTCTTCAAACCGTAGGCTGCCCTCCTGCCCACTGCAGTGATTGCTAATAGACTCCAGCTGCTGCTGCTACTGCCGAGATTCCTGGGCCTCACTTGGGATGCTGCGCAGGATTCTGCCACAGCCACAGAGCTTTTCAGACTCCTAATAGGACTGGGCCTTTGTTCTGGGACCAAATTTCCCAGCAGCTCCAGCAAGGCCTGGGCCCCAAGAGCCATTGTGAAACTCACCCTACTTCCCCTTTGCATGCCTGTGCCCTGGGACTCCTATGTGTAGGACCTATTGTTGGTTACTGACTGTGTCAGTGCACA